ATGTCATTAAAAAGTTCCTTCAATGGTTCTATCATTTCTTCTGATATCATCTTGTAATAAATTGCAGTTAATCCATCAGTGCCTGGCGTCTTACCAACCTTTAATTGTTTAATTGCAGAGGTAATCTCTTCAGCAGTAATTGAAGCATTAATCCCATCACGCTGATCAGTTGTAAATCTGGGAAAATTGGCTTGTTGTAAATAGTTTTCTGATACCACTCTAATGGCAGAAAGTGAAGAGGAACTAAAGAGCCTCTTGATGCGGGTGAAGAAGGAGAGTGCAAAAGTTGGCTTGAAACTCAACATTAAGAAAACCAAAATCATGGCATCCGGCCCTCTCAATTCCTGGCAAATAGATGGGGAAGAAATGGAGGTAGTGACAGATTTTATTTTTCTGGGCTCAAAGATCACCTCAGATGGGGACTGCAGCCAAGAAATTAAAAGGCGCTTGCTCCTGGGGAGGAAAGCTATGGCAAATCTAGGCAGCATTCTAAAAAGCAGAGACATCACCCTGCCAACAAAAGTGCGTATAGTCCAGGCCATGGTTTTCCCAGTTGCAATGTATGGCTGTGAAAGTTGGACCATAAGAAAGGCTGAGCGCAAACGAATTGAGGCCTTTGAACTATGGTGCTGGAGAAGACTCCTGCGAGTCCCTTGGACTGCAAGGAGTTCAAACCGGTCAGTCCTAGAAGAGATCAACCCCGACTGCTCTTTAGAAGGCCAGATCCTGAAGTTGAAACTCAAGTACTTTGGCCACCTAATGAGAAGGAAGGATTAACTGGAGAAGAGCCTAATGCTGGGAAAGATTGAGGGCAATAGAAGAAGGGGACGACAGAGAATGAGATGGCTGGATGGAGTCACTGAAGCAGTAGGTGTGAAGTTAAATGGACTCCAGAAGATGGTAGAGGACAGGAAGACCTGGAGGAATGTTGTCCATGGGGTCGCGATGGGTCGGACACGACTTCGCAATTAACAACAACAAATAGTTTTCTATTTCTGAAATTTGTATAACTTCACTAGTATATAACTTAGAATAAAAATCTAAAAAAGCCTTTTTAATCAAATTTTGTTGATACACCTCTTTGCCTTTATAACATATTTTGTTTATAATCCTTGATTTCTGCTTCTTACATAATTGATAAGCCAACCATCTACCAGGTTTATTTGCATTACAAAATGTATTATACTTCATATACCTCAAATTAATTGCCATCTGATCCGCTATTAACATATTAAATTGTTCCTTAAGCAGAGTTATAGAAGCTTTCAAATTATTATCCATTGGATTTGATAATAAAATCTTTTCCTTACATTTGATCTCATCTTCCAACTCTTTACGCTTCTCAGTTTGTTTACGTCTGTGAGCATTATTCATAGAGATCAAAATCCCTCGCATGTATGCTTTACTGGAATCCCAAACCATTGGCATCGAGGTGCCCTTATTCATATTCCAAGAGAAAAATTCTTTTAAATAACCTCTACATTTCTATATATTCTCTTCATATCTAAATAAATTCTCATTTAACCTCCAAGACCTTCTAGACCCTTTATCCAAAGAAATTTCCAACCATACAGGACTATGATCTGAAAAAATTCTAGAAAATATCTTAGTATTCCTCACTCTGAAAGAAAAGTCATTAGTAACTAGAAAAAAGTCAATTCTAGAATAAGATTGATGCCTGTCTGAAAAAAAGGTGAAATCTTTTTCCTGAGGGTTACATTCTCTCCAAATATCTCTGAGTTCCAAATCATCCTTTAAATCAAAAAAGCTTTAGGAAGTCTCCCCTGGTTACACACTTTAAAAGAACCCTTCTTATCTTTGCTTGGATCCAAAACACCATTCCAATCTCCCATCATAATAACCGATTTATAATCCAAAGAAATTAGTTTCTGATGAATCATCTTGTAAAAATGTTTTTGTTGTTGATTGGGAGCATATAATCCAACAAGAAGAGTTCTGTTATCATTTATTAAAAGATCAGTAATAATGTATCTGCCTTGTAAATCCGAGTCAATTAATTTTGTTGAAAGCTCTTTTCTTACATATATAACTACACCTCCTTTTTTCTGCAATGCAGGAGCTGTAAAATGTACCCCCAGCCGAGGGTTGAACAAATATTTTTGATCTTTGGAAATAATATGAGTCTCTTGCAAACAAATAATATCATTTTTATGTTGTTTCAAATAGTAAAAAACTTTATTTCTTTTCTGTGGAGTGCTAAGCCCGTTAACACTTAACATTCCAGGTTAGAAGCTTTGCCATTCTTGGCAGGTTCAAGCCTTTGGAACAAAACCTCTAGACTTGCAGTCAATGATTTCTTTGGCCTTGCTCCTCCCACTGGCTCCGAAGTAAAGTGTGATCCATCATCAACCTTTTGTTGCTGTTGCTGTTGTTGTTCTCTTTCTCTACGTTTATAGGCAGCACGTGTAATTCTCTGTTGTTTTGGGTCATCAATTAATTGAATAGATTCAACCAATAACTCTTCTCCTGGGAGTGGCTTTAAGCCTACATTAGATTGTGTTTCTGCCTTGCTCTCATCTTTTTTTGATCTTGGAGATGGTGGTGCCTCTGCTTTTAACACAGTCATATAAAAATCTTTTGCTTTAGAAAGTGTATTAAGGCGATAACGTAAACCCAGATAAGTCACCACTATCCCCACAGGAATATACCATCTGAATTGAATTTGTTGTTTCTTAAGTTCATCAGCCAAAAAAGCAAAATCTCTCCTTCTCCTAAGGATTTTTGAAGGTATTTCTTTTAAGATTATCACATCTTGAATTGCAATCTGAAATCTGTGCTTATAAAAAGCCTGAATAATTTCATTCCGCAATGATCTTCTAGCAAAATAAACCACCACATCTCTTGGTAGCTTCCTCTGTCTTGCGACCCATGAATTAACTCTAAAAATCTTTTCTATATCTCTCAACATTGCTTCAGGGCTGCATTCCAAAATAGAAGCCAATTCTATTGCAATTTCTTCTTTCAAATTCTCCTGAACATTCTCCTTCAAACCTCTTATTCTCAAAGCAAACTCCATTTTTCTATATTGTGACATTAAAATCTCATTCTGTACATTGTCTGCATTATCTTCTATCTTATCAACTCTATCTTGTAGTATTTCAGCCTTCCCCACCACTTCATCCACCCTGTCATCAATTTTTTCTACAAGTCCAGCAAGCCCCTCAAGTGCAGAAATAATATCTACCCTCATCTGGTCATTTTTTTTCTCAATAAGTTCTGCTGACTTTTGTATAGTTTTCTCATAAATGTTCTTCAAAGCATCTTGCAAATCTTTAAGTGTTATTGACTGAGGTGGTGGTGAGGGTGGAGAAAGTTTAGGTCTGAGTTGTTGTACAGTCTGAGTTGCTGAAGAAGGAGTTGCAACTTTAGGAAGAGAAGCAGGTCCAGGACGTTTTGAAGCCATTTTAACAAAGGAATTTTTTTTTTTAAAAAAAAAAAGAATTAAAAACTAGTAAAAATAAAAAGAACAAGAACAGCAAAAAAAAGAAGTTTACTCTTTAAAAAAAGGAATTATCTTAAACAAATCAAGTCCATTACGTTGTTAAAGCTATTACCAGGAAATCCATTGATAAAAAGTAGAAAGTGAAAGTGTTCAAACAAGGAGAGTAACAAAGAAACAATAGTCCTCCGCCATATTTCTTGACTCCAGCAATTTGTTAAAATAGTAACAGGAGAAGATGTTAGTTCTCCCTGAGTTAAGTTAGAAGTAAAATCCAATCATTGTCCTCCTGACAGCTCTGTCTGCTTTAAAAGTAACTTACAGTTTTCATTAGGAAAGCAGCAGTGGAGGCGGCGTCTGGCTTCGTTCTCTTTGGAGAACAAAGACATCCCAGGAAACGGAGCAACACCCGGACTTCGGAGGAGCTCTCACACTTCACCTCCTGAGAAAAAATCCCTGGGAGATTGGTGAGGCTCAACTCCTATCCACGAGAGAGCTCACCTTCTTCCCTTCACCCGGGAAGAAGTTTTCAAGCCATAAAACAGCTGATTGTCGCTATTTAACCGGCTTTTACAATCTCCCGGGAGAGGCAGCTGTAAAACAGCTGCCATCAACACCAACGCAGCCACCGGAAACCCCACTTTGCATCTTAAGAAGACAGAACTCTTGGAATAATTCTTCCAACAGGCATCCTTTATTAAGAGAAAATGGTTGCAGGCATTCTAGACAGGACTTGGAGTCCAAGCTCTCCCATTTAAGGTTTTAAGGGGTTCCCCAGTAGCCCCACCCAATCACCCCCTTCTTCCAGCGACAGTCTCAGGCATTAACTCCCATCCCCTTTTCCTTACTGCCGGCTGGATGGAGACTTCAGAGAAAACTACATGAAAGGTAATAGCCCCATTGTTATGGTTAATCCTTTCGGTGATACACACATCCAGTTCCTTTGAAGTGTACCGAAGGAAGTGAGGGCCATAAAGCCCCTTTGTTCACCCCCTTCCCTTCATCATATGACAGAATCCACAGAAGGCAGAAATGGAGTTTTCTATAATTGATAACTAGAGATGAAATATAATTGGATTCTGACACATGTGGCAGGAGGAAAAGTTCTCCTTTAGTTCCTCATCTTTAAAGAAACAGTGATACAGACAAAGATACAGATACAGATCTCTTTAGTTTCTGAGGTATTGAACAAAGGCTAATGATGATAAACTGAATTAGTTTTCATGAAGCAAAGGTATCCATTTTCCAATGCACAATGTTGGGGCAAAGGTAGTAAACTTCTTTTTTGGTGATTGGAAGATTTATGAATGACAGTTATAACCAGCAGGAGAAGGTGGAGGACACCTAAATTTTTGAACACTATGAGGGAGACACAATCCTCTTCCAGCTTATGGGCACAGCAGTCAATGGACCTCAGCATTTGCTGAAATCAACCTGTTTGTGATACCAATTTTTCCTACTTGATGTCAGTGGCTTTAAAATATGCAGATGATCAAAGAATCATGGAAGTTCTGAAGAGGGCAAATTGGAAACAAAGGACTTAGTACATGATATCTTCTGCTGTAACATTTGCTTCTTCTGTCTTTGTTTTCAAAGTCGGGAAGTGAATTGCGCTGAGGGCAACAATGACCAGATTCAGCCCATGGATTGTTGCACTTGCTACACAAAGCCAGAAAGAAGGCATATACTTTTCTTCCAGGATGAGAAACTGGAAGCCATTTTCCCGAAAATTGGCAATTCTTTCTGTAAGCTGATGGAGTTTGACAGCTGATACAAAAGCAGTCACAGCCAGCATGGTACATCCTCCTAGAAATAAATGTAAAAAACAAAAGTCATTTGTGCACATGCCCTACAGAGCAGATGACTCTCATTTCTAAACTGATCCTGGAGTTGTTTTTGTTTGAGTTGTTGAGTAGCCAAAGATTGCATCTAACTCTTTAAGAGATGCCAAGGCCACAGAAAGCAGGATGCTGATGCAAAATAAAGGAGCATACCTTATCCTATAAGCAGAGTTGGGTTTTTCATTTTTCCCTTGGGTTTTGGAGAAATTAAACTGTCCCTTTTGAAACAAGGGGGTTCAATGGTCATAAAGTATACTGCATTGAGGACCTGTATACTGCATGAACCAGAAACGGTGCTGTGAAAATTTCTGTAGCCCTCTCACATCCTGGACATAAACTATTTCAATTTCTTCCCTCAGGATGAAGCTATAGGGCATTGCACACCAAAACAACTAGACACAAGGACAGTTCTTCCCCATGCCATCACTCTGCAAAACTGTTGTAGTTCCTCAATTGCCAGCGGATCCGGCAGCTGAGTCAGATGGGAAGGGGTGCCTGGGATCACATTGGAGTTTGCAGAAGATTCTGAGGAACAAGAAGACTCAGAGTCAAACATGGAACCAGGCCCATCTACTCACACTCAGGCAGAGAGACAGCTGTGTTTGGCAAAGAGCAGGAACGGTTGGGGCCTGTCCCATATGCATGTATATGCAGAGAGGAGAGGCATGCAGGACAACAGAGGGCAGTGGGATGGATCTCCAGGAAAAATAAGAGACACTAAGAAGCCATACCCTGGCTGGACTATAAAGAGGAGAGGTGTGGGAGGCACCGGTTGCTGCAGACAACAGTTCATGCTATGGTATCTTGTTCCTCTGATTTCTTTTGCCAGGAGTTTTGCCAATTCTTTGCAGGTTTGTTGGCTTTCTTTGTGTGTTATGTCCCGAGCCTTTGCAAACGGCTCGGGCGTTTGCAGGCAGTCCCGGGCAGGTGCAAAGCTGCCCGGGACCAGATAGGCTGTCGCCAGCGCCGTGCGCATGCGCGGGTGCTGGCGCGGGAAAAGTAACCCATTTACCCGGGAGTTGCCTATATAAGAGGCTGCGAGGCGTTTGGGCGAGGCTGAAGCCATCTTCCTGTAAGCTGAACGCTGAATAAAAGAAACTGAGAACTCCAGCTGCTTCTCGTGTCTGCTTTCCCGCCAAGGATGCAACACTGGCGACGAGGGTGGGATGCCTTGCACTACCTGGAAAGGAAGAAGTGTAAGCTTACCCAAGGAGTCCTGAGCGGCGGAAGAGGAACGGCGTCGCCTCGGCAGCTGCCCGCCAATCCGGTGCGCATTCGGGGGTAGGCTGGCTGATAGACCCGTCTCCTGAAGATCCGAAGATGGCGAAAATCGGAAGGCTTTCGGAATTCGACGTCTCACATCCAGAGCGGTGGGAGTCCTACGTATCCAGACTGGAGAACTACTTCCAGGCAAACCAAGTGAGGGAAGATAGCTTGAAGGCCGCCACCCTGCTTTGCGTTTGCGGCCAAGACGCCTTCGAAATCGCAGAAAATCTTGTAGCACCTGGTCCAGTAGAGTCTGTAAGCTACGCAGACCTGAAGAAGCTGCTGAAAGAGCACTTCCACCCCAAGGTGTCCGTTATCTCATGGCGCCACACCTTCGAGCAGAGGGATCAACGGTCCGGTGAAACAGCAAAGGAATACATCGCCGCGCTACGGAAGGCCGCCAAGCCCTGCGAGTTCAAGGACCTCGAGGAACGACTGAGGGACCGATTCGTGTGCGGGTTAAGGCATCGCGAGCTACAACAGAGACTTTTCGCAAAGGAAGAATTATCCTTCCAAGATGCCTTAAGGGAAGTCACCGCAGAAGAAGCAGCAGGCGGCGCCATCAAAAACATGCGGCCGATCAGAAACAGTGCAGAGGGTGCGTCCGTGCACCAGGAAGACGTCCAACGAAACTCCGAGGAGGATCCGGACGAGGAAGTCGACCGTCTACACCCCGCGAAGGAAGAGAACCAGAAGGGAAGCTCTTCGGCTCCGCTCAAGTGCATCGGCTGTGGAGGTCGCCACAGAAGAACCGACTGCAAGTTCCGCTCCGCTACCTGCCGGGCATGCGGCAAACAAGGGCACATTGCAGCTGTGTGTCTGAGCCGACGAAAGGCACAACCCCAAGAAGAACGCCTGAAAGGTACCAGATTCTCCAGCCAGAATAGGGTAGGTTTTTGCGCTTCGCGAAGAAGCATCTGTAGAACAGGCACACACAAGCCCATGAAGAAAAAGCGTGAAGCTACAAGGGGTTCCATTATCTATGGAACTAGACACAGGGTCTGCCCTGTCCATCATTTCATTGCATACATTTAGGAAGATTTGTTCCAGAAGTGGGTCTAAGGCCAAAGTCTAAGGCCGAACTTCAGGCCTTCCTAGGCCTCCTGAATTTCTATAATTCTTTTCTTCCACATAAAGCTAGTGTAGCTGAGCCTCTTCACAGGCTACTAGACAAACAAGCTGTGTGGCTGTGGTCACAAGCACATGAGGCTTGCTTTAAAGAAGTCAAGGCCTTGCTCACTTCTAACAGTGTTCTTGCACATTTCAACGAGTCTCTTCCTGTGTGCATCGCTTGTGATGCATCCCCCTACGGGGTTGGAGCTGTCCTGAGTCACCTCAGGTCTGATGGAACTCAGGTTCCTATTGCATACTACTCCAGAACACTGTCTTCTGCCGAGCGCAACTACGCTCAGATAGACAGGGAGGCTCTGGCTGTTGTTGCTGGAATTAAAAAATTCCACGATTTTCTATATGGCAGGCATTTCACGGTCTTCACTGACCATAAGCCTCTGCTGGGACTGTTTACCACACGTAAGCAGACTCCCCACATCATTTCCCCTAGAATGCTTAGGTGGTCTATTTTCTTGTCTGCATATGATTTTTCATTACTCCACAAGCCTGGGAAAGAAATGGGCCATGCTGATGGCCTCAGTAGGTTGCCTCTGCCAGTAGTAGAAGCTGACCCCGCGCCAGCTGTCAACATTCTATCAATCCAAGCCTTGCCCGAGCTCCCTCTTAGTGCCAGGGATGTTACCGCTGAAACAGGTACAGATCACACACTTTCACGTGTCCGCTCCTGGGTCCTGTCCGGGTGGCCTGAGCACTGCCCTAGTCCTGAGTTTCAGAGTTTCTGGTCCAAAAGAAACGAACTGTCCCTTTCTCAGGGTTGTCTGCTTTGGGGAAACAGAGTTGTCATTCCCACCTCAATGAGGACTAGGGTCTTAGAATCCCTCCACGAGGGTCATCCTGGCATTGTCCGTATGAAGGCTCTTGCACGAAGCCACTTGTGGTGGCCTGGTTTAGATAAAGATATTGAGGCTAAGGTACACGCATGCCACCTGTGCCAACGATCTCGCCCAGAGATGCCCCAAGCTCCTGTGCATAGATGGGAGGAAACACAGTCCCCATGGTCTAGGGTGCACATTGACTACGCTGGGCCCTTTCAGGGCCAGTTCTTCTTGGTCCTTGTTGACAGCCATTCAAAATGGCTTGAGGTTGTGCCTGTCTCATCCACCACCACTGCAAAGACTATTCAGGTACTGAGGGGGATTTTTGCTGCACACGGGCTGCCAGATGTCATTGTGTCCGACAACGGCCCTCAATTCACCTCCTCCGAATTCCAAGCTTTCTTACAGGCAAACCTGATTCGTCATGCCACGTCTGCGCCTTTTCACCCGTCCACCAACGGTATGGCTGAACGCATGGTGCGCATCGCAAAGGACGCCTTGAAGAGACTCACCTACGGGGACTGGCATCACAGGTTGGCTGACTTTCTCCTTTCTTATCGCACCACACCGTCCACTTCTACAGGGAGAAGTCCAGCTGAACTTCGTTGGGGGCGCCAACTTACTACTAGACTTGACCGGTTGCATCCGGACAGACTGCCTTCATCTACCTCACATCCTAGGGCACCTAGACAACTACTTGTGGGTGCCCCGGTTTGGGCTCGCAATTACGGGCCTGGTCATACATGGGTCCCCGCTTCTGTGTCCAGGATCACAGGTCCTCTCTCCTACGAGGTTGCCCTGGACAACGGTCGTGTCCTACGTCGGCACATCGACCAACTTCGCTCTAGGCGAGACTTTTCTGCTGAGACTCCTGGGTCTTTTCCAGGGGGGGAGGGGGACCCTTTGGAGCAAAGGGAAGGGCACGAGCTGCTGCCCATCTCCACTGAGGGAGCCACAAACGGCCCATCCCAGGGTTCCACGAGCGCTCCGAACAAGAATTCCATGAGCTTACCCACACAACAGGCACTCACGCCTACTCCAGCCAGGGAGTCACCCCGGGGGCATACTCACTTTCCACACACGTCACACAGCACTCCAGTCACGGAGGATACCCGGGGGCATCCCAACAAATCATTCCCCGCAAGAGAGCTGGCACACAATCCCCAAGGTTGGCCTGACCTTACCCCAAATCCTACAGGGGGTCAAACATACACAGAGCTAGTCGAGGAACCAAGTCCCGACTACAACAACCCTAGCACAAATCAGGGAACACCTGAGTTTTGGGAAAGTACAGAAACCCACACGAGCCCGAACACAGAATGGGGTTCAGGGAATGGACAGCCTCCTGACAGGTCTTGGACTGACCTAGGAGGTCCTACAGAGACGCCCAGCAGCGGCTATCACTTCAAGGGGCCCGAGGGTCTACAGCTAGGCAGGTCAACCAGGTCACAAAGCAACAGAAGCCCTGGCCTGACGAGCCCGGTGGGCAAGCAAGCAGGCCAGGCATTGGGGCACAGTCCTTGGAAGACACCAGGGCACAATAGAGAGAAAAGGCTCACGCCTCCCTCCAGTCAGGGGACTTATGCCAGTAATCCAGAGCTAAGAAGGTCACAGAGAGCAAAGAAATCTCCCAAGTACCTAGAAGACTACATAACATTGCTGGCAAGGCAAAGGCCAGTAAACAGTGGGAGCACTGGGGAGCAAAATGTCATATAAAATAAATGTTGTATGTTGGTAGTAGTTTTAGCCCGGG